CTGTCTCAGGCAGTGCTCCCCTCGCCTTTGAGGGTTGTATTTGAGGTTGCCTCTCCTGTTTGGCCCAATACTTCCGGGTATCTGTAATCAGATGCTTGGAAAAATCTAAATTAAAATACTATAGTAAGTGCACACGTAAGCTTTGCGCACACTTTTCTACAAATCCACATGAGTGGTAAGTGTGCATGTTATGCTTTGCCCACTTTCTAAAAACCACATAAGTGGTAAGTGTGCACGTTATGCTTTGCCACTTTTCTGAAATCCTGTATGGTAGGGGGTTCGCGTTATTGACCTCATTCCCTTTCTATGAGTTGGTTAGACCCCCGGTACCTTGGGCTCCACTCAACTAGTGTGGCTGACACACTCTGGAAGCATAGCTCCCGTCATCATTGAGGGATGTATTTGAGCTTGCCTCTCCCGTTGGCCCAATACTTCCGGGTATCTGTAAATAGATGCTTGGGAAACTCTAAAATCAAAAATACTATGATAAGTGCACACGTTATGCTTTGCGCACTTTCTAAAATCCACATAGCTGGTAAGTGTGCACATTATGCTTTGCCCACTTTATAAAAATCATGTATGGTAAGGGTTACGCGTTATTGATCTCGTTCCCTTTCTCTGAGTTGGTTTAGACCCCGGTACCTTGGGCTCCACTCAACTAGTGTGTTTCTATCGACACACTCTGGAAGCATCACTCCCCTCACATTGAGGGTTATTGTGAGTATGGTGCTTTCTTTCGAGTAATCCTCTCTGAGGAGTTGGATTCCTCACTCCATGGGCTGTCCTCGTGGCAGTATTGACCAGTGCTCCCCTTTTATCAAAGGGCTACCTGGAATGAGCAACATTATTCCTCTGAATTCGGAGTTCTCCTCTCACATGAGAAGTTTGAGTTCTCTGTTTCTCAAGAGCACCTGGAACCAGCAGCATCAGTGTTTGGCAGTATGCTTACCCTTCTGATTTTACAATCATGCTGCAGGTCGAGCCCCCTCTCGTTGAGAGCTGGGTTTGTGGGTTTGT